TGAGATGTAACCCCAACAACACTAAGGAAGAGGATGGAGGTACGTCTTTTTCGTGTTTGATCTCGCCACCAACTAGTATATTCAGGAAGGCTAAAAAGTCCTGAGCCTCCTTGGCGCAATCTTTATGTTCCACTGCGAAATAATCATCCATATACGCTAGCTGGTTAATAATACCCAAACTGCGACTGAAGTGTGTGAACATTTCAGAAATTCGTAGATAGTTGGTGACCGAAGCAACGGCTCCAAAGGGACATCGTAGAGGGACCACTATATGAGGAGCCGACGATTCATCAAGAAAGAGTCCACATGCCCTCCAAGCGTCTTCTATTTTAATCGGTAGTTGTCTATAGGCAGCCCGATGGTCGCTTCGAAAAATAGTTGAAGAACCTTGACATTTCATTAGGCTAGCTACCTTAGCGACATGTAGGAGGCGAGGAAATTGAACTTTGTGATTCACCGTGGCAGTACTATTCAACTTCCGTCCTCCTAAGCTATACGAGTAGTTGGATATTAAACGGACTTTGTTATGTTGGGCCACTGCGAATAGAAGGCATGCAAATTGAACTTGTGGAGGGAGTTGGTCGGGAGGATAAGGACCAAGGGCTCGCCCGAGCTGTACTTCCGAAAGAACATCGTTAATAATGGATGTGTTCAAGTTAACATCATGGAAACTTCTCATAAGATAGTTTGATAAGGTTGTGAGCGAGTTGCTCTTGAGAATGAGTTTATTTCCTTCATACAGAGCTCGTTTAGGCTTATGAGAGACTGGAAAGAGGCCACCACCAGGGATAGTGCCAGTTAGGGGGAAACCCTCAGCTAAGTTTAATATGATGTCTTCATCCTTGAACCTTGTAATTTGGATTAGGTTAATCAGACGATCCAATTTCCAGTTAGAGGGAACAGGCTTGATCCGACGAGACCGCCAATATAGATCCTCGCCCATCCTAGAAGTACCCAACCAATTTGCGATGTGTAGCTTGTTGTGATTCCGAAGCCACTTAAGCTGAGATGGTGAAAGTTCTCGTTGAATCACCAAAGTTGCTTGAAGCATCGTGGGTAGCTCGATAGAAAAATTTGGTAGGATGTCATGATGAGTCGCCCATTGAATATGTTCTTGTGGTTGCAGCAAGTGGTCGGTCAACTTGCTTGCATTTATAAGGTCATGTAAGTCTCCTTTGTGTGCTGGGTAGCCATAGACGATATCATAAATGACCTTAGGACGAAGCAGAATAATATTATGTTGTCTAGTAACCTCGAGATGGTCATGTAGACCAGAATGAATCAGAGCTTGTTGTGTTAAACGGATAATCTCCTGTACCATGCTTCGTTTTCCTCGGCGTGACCTCTTAGATTTAGGTAGGACTAATGAGTCAGACATAAAAAATTAATCTGATGATGATCTGAGTAAATATAAAATGGAGAAGGCTGTTGTGAGAGAGGTAACACAAGCCTAATTCAGTGGATATGATTTGGATATGATAGTTGAGACTGAATGAGTTGTTCAAGTAAAGTTGAAGTATCGAGTGAAATCAAGAAGAGAGTTGGTAGGAGATCGGCTGATCATACTAAGTAGACTTGCTCTTAGCGTTGGTCTCTGGGGTGGGTTTGGTTTTGTTCTCATATGTAGACCAAGAGTTGGATCCCTGCCAGTTGTACCAGGTTCTAGGTCGTTGTTGCCACTGATCATAACCTTTCCAGGTCGATTTTTTTGTAGTTGTAGACCGATCTGGTTTGGGGGGAGGTGAAGAGAAGCGTCCAAGGGCGGAATTGAGAGTAGAATCTACCTGGTTGGTAGCCAGTAAGTCAACGTTGCTGACTTCTCTTGATTGAACTAACCCCAAAGCCATAGTAGATAACTTTTCGAGCTCGTGTTTGGCCTTGATGGTCCCATTAGAACCAAAAGAACAATCTGCGACTTTGTCTATCATGGAAATCGCAGTGGAACTTTGCATGACACCTGCTTGTACTAACCTAGTCGATAGATCAATGGAAGCCATGATAACAGACGCAACAGAAAAGGACTCTGTGTGTTTGTCTATAGTTATACCCTTGATTCTAGACCACGAGGCCGGGATGAAGGAATACCATGGCTGGTCTAAGAACGTTTCCAAAGTGGACCCTTTGTTGTATAGGGGAGCCATGAGATGTCCTGGCCTAGGTTGCGGTGCCGAAGATGTCAGAGTGAGGGGACACGGTGGACCTGGGGGCAGTTCTGAGGAGTGCGCCGTAGAAGGGAATTCGGCCGAAGTGGGGATATTTTTAGATAGAGCCTTGTGCTGTTCTATGAAGCCTCGCACTTGGGAGTCGATGTCACTTAGAGAGACAGCGTCGATGGGTTATGCTTGAGAATGATCTCCGGGGGTAGGGGCAGACGGTAACTTGGGAGAAGATCGTGGAGTCTTCTTGATAGTCGAGCGAATCCTCGATTTGGTTCTCAAGGAGGAGGAAGCTTTGCGGGCTCTCTTTGTTAGAGAAGTAGGTGGCATAGAGAGTAGAATCTTATAACTATGGTGAGATCAAGTCACGTAGATACCAGTAAATGGATTAGAGAGAGACGACGAGAGCCTCAGAGCTTATCGAGCGGCTTAGCCGCGTCAAACAAACAAAAAGTTTCCTGCGACTCGGGACGTGTTAAATGAGGCCAAAGGCGAGGGCCTCTTGTGTTCTTGCCTCCAGAAGTTCTGGCATCTAAGGAAGTAGTCTAGGGGAAGGAAAGACGTTTCTGCTCCAAGATATGAGCCAAGCGGGGGGATCTCTTGTAGAAGAGAATAAGACCCACGGAGGACAGATGATACTCTGTCTTAGATGAGCCTCCTGGGCGCAACAAGAAAAAGCGATGTTAGAGCCAAGACTGAGACTCCTATGTGCTTGCGTTTACGTACAATGGTGTTTGTGCGTATCAGGTGTTCATTTCGCGCTCGCCCAACAACTGCGTGTATGTTGGCACAAACTAGTCGTGCCTCCCTAACACAACACAACGCGTGGATCACTTTCCATCAACTAGTTGTGGTTTCCATCAACATGGTCCATGTTACATGGATATTACCCTGGTGGTCCTGGTATGTGGATTGTTGTTCTCCCTTCTGTTGGTGGCATTATTGGCACGCTCGTTCTGAAACAGATCGTCATCAAAGCTGGGAGAAAGTGTGTCCTAGTGTTTCTCCTTGCTGCTATCACCTGTGTTGGCTGTATTATAAGCAACTTCCTAGATGCCTGAAACGTCATTGATATAATGCCTATAGGTCATGTTTGTTCATAACTCAGTTCCTCTTCTTTCAATTCTGTTGCCTGTGGAGACTGAGTCTGTCATACGTCATAAGTTGAGAACTTCGTCATGAGTTCTCGGGTTGGAGTCTTCCTGTCCCAATTCAGTGATTCTTCCTCTGTTACTTTCTCTTGTGGACTTTTCTATCTGTTGAGATATGTGCTGTTCTCCAAGGAAAGTTGTTGACATTTGCTAAAAGTAAAATGCTACTCGGTATGCTTGGCACCTTACTATCCGAAGTTGCCAGTTCTTATCAGGGCAGCCCTGACAGGGCTGTCGAACTCAACCCAAGTTAATAGTGCGAACAATCAAGCTTGACAGTGTGTTGCGGAGCAAGAGAGTCGGGATAAACTGTATCCGAATCGGATACAGTTTACATTCTCGAGGGAATATGAAAAAAATATGCAAGACACTATGTATGAGCCTGAAGTGGGTCCGTAACCCAATTCATCTCAGGTAAACAGGCAATTACTATTTAATTCGTCCTATCATTACGGAGCTCAGACAAGAAGTAGAAGGGAGAAAGGTGTAAAGAACTCATTGCGGAAAATTTGAGTGGCGAACTTGCCGAGATGAAATGCTCAAAACAGGAATCTATGGAGAATGCGGACTGAAGCCCTGCGACTCAACTGAGATGGAATCAGGCAGTGAAGAGACGCGAATCAGCGAAGTGCTGGTCTCTTATGCTGAGCAGCTCAACCTTACAAACTGTCGATGACACTCAATCGGACTGCGTGTCCATTAGAAGAGTGAGTCATCTGTAAGCGGCGCCCAACCGGCGTCCCGCCTCGTATAGAGGTTGAGTTGCAACCAGTTGATGCCTTTATCTTAGTGGAGGGTTTGAGCCAACCGACACGGCAGTAGCGACAGTAAGAACTTAGCGACAGTAAGAACGCGTACGCACGCGTGAAACCTATTGTGTTTCAGATTAATCGATTTCATATTGCGTGCACTACAACAAATCAATCGCATCACCCTGGGTGATGCGTCACCCCGGGTCATTCACCCATATCACAATTAAAATTCATCGCTGTGGCGAAAAGGTGCATCGATGTGAGGCAATTCCTTCTTTCCCTATGTCTGGAGATTTCTGACGATGGTGAAGCGCCATCGGCTCGATGGTAAGCACGTGTAGCTGCTCAATATTATCTGAGGCTCAGATGATGATTCTGAGCCATCGTTAGACATGGAAAAACACCATTTCCCGAGCTATTCGTAGTGTAAGAGTTGTGTCTCGTGGTGCTTCGCTTGTGGCACCAACCTCAGGGAACCTACAGCAACTGAGATAGAGCTAGACACGTAGCTTTATCCGGTCTACATCACGTGAAACAAGAGATGCACGCAAGTGTATCGGGAAGCGACGCAAGCGAACAAGCTCCGTAGACTGAGTGGTGTAAGCGCCAAAGGGGACGAAGCACCTCAAGGTCAGAGCATACGATTTGCGAAGTCGCTGCCCACTGTTACCCAGCCAGAAGTCGCTACTCTACTTTGAGCCCTGTCTTAAATAGCCACACTGCACTGACTTCACGTGCAATTGTCATCCCCCACTGAGCTTAGATACAGCGTAGCCTCTCATTAGAGTGAAATAGAATCTGTGGAATTTTCTCAACACTCCTCAACGCTTTCTCACTGTAGAGCCCTCACTTTCTCAACGCTTAGCTTTTCTTCAGTACCTTGACTATCATTCGGACGACTTGGCACCAGCTTTGAAGTACTGACCTCCATTCAAACAATCATGAATCACCCTCATGCTCTCCTCGTCTGTATCGAAGTGCTCCTTGTGACCTTTTGTGGTGGTGAGGTGATCAGGTTGAAGATATCCGCACAGCAAACTGAACGCTGGGCGCCTTGGAGACGCATCGTGACTCCTTTGAAGGTCGACACTCAAGATCTTTACGCCGTCGTGGATACTGGGAGCCCGTACACTCAGTTGATATGGAAAACTTGGTACGACACCCTCTCTGGCGGCCGGTGCGATGAGCTTTTCTACAAGTGCTATGAATGCGACCCAGCGACTTACGAGTTGAACGCTGCCAAGAAAATCAGGTTTATTGACAAAACTTCGCTGACAATATTCCCATTCTCTGGGGACTTTTACTTCTACGGTGCGACTGCCTGGGACATGGACTTCGGAGTGGTGAAGGATTCCTCACACGGTGCCTGGGCAGCCCTCGGCCTCGGACCACAGGTCACCAACCCGCCGTTTCCGCGCTTTGTTGATCAGCTAGTGTCAGCGGAAATCGTCGATAGTTCAGTTTTTTCGGTTTACTTATCGTCTGGGAGCCCCTTCTCAGGCGAACTTATTATTGGTGGTGACGATGCTAGTAAATATGATGGTCCCCTGGAGTATATTGCTATTACAGACGAACATCACCACACCAGTGAACTACAAGCATTCGCCATAGGATCTAAGCGGCGAGAAGAGTCCGGGCCAGTTGTCTTTGACACAGGTTCCTCCTTTATAAGTATCCCTAAGCGGCTTCGTGAAGAGGTCATAGGTCTCCTTGGTACCGCCGGCAGGAAGAAGGTCGAGTTTATGGTGAAAGGCGACGACTACGGTGTCGACTGCAAAGATGTCAGCTTCTTGCCGTCGATGAGGTTCACTGTGAGAGGAATACCTGATAAAGCCGATGTTACGCTTGAGATACCTCCTAAAGCATACATCGTTTCACCCGAGCCTGACGTATGTATCTTGACCATTAGTTTCGATGAAGGGTGGATTTTGGGGTTACCAACATTTGTCGGCCACTACTACTCCTTCGACTGGGCTCGAGCTACTATAGGTGTCGCCAAGCTTAAGGAATGATTAGAGGGTCGACTGAGAGGTTCACAACTCTTCAGTCACCCCCGAAACATTATTTCTTGTTTTCTTCTGCCATGTTTTTATATTTGTTATTGACCGCTTGGCGTGCCACTATGCTATGCGGCGTGCTTGCATCCTCGACGGGCTATGCTTCGCTATGTGATACTTATGGACTGGCGAGCGGTGCTTCGACACCCACACATTTCCGTTCCTATTCGTATTGCGTGCGTGGCGTAATAGTAATCTGTGAGGAATTGATGAGCATTATCTTCTATATTATCACTTGAGTGATCCAGATTCGCATGAAGCATTTGATGGGCAGTGGCGCACTGGTGAACTATCTGACTTTTCACACCGTAGTGCAAGAAGTTGAGTTCTGCGTGGCAGAAGTGGCGTTCAGACGAGCCAAGCAGCAAGAAAAATGGTCGACAAGCCGCACAACTGAGCTGAACGAACAACACGATAGCGAGTGATGCGAGGAGTTGCACAATCCAAGCTAGTAAAGGATCTTACAACCTTGGTCACGCAATTTTCGCTGCTCAGATAGCTGAGATCCAATCTCATCCAACACTCCCAGATAACCAATGCCATGCGATGAAGTGTTATAGAGAGAACCTACATGTGACAATGCTCCTACTCTATTCTGACTGTCAGCATTGCACTTTCTATTCTACATTCTTGGCACCACGCATTGCCTATGCTTGGTGTCTCCCCCAGGCATACGCGTTTGTACCGCAGGCACACGCTCTCTAGCTGGCGAGCCTAGCCCGCGGTGCGAAGTAGTCTGATAATTCTGATATTATGAAGGTGTTGATCCAGATTGGATTTACCTTAGAGATTGTGACTTCCTTCTTCCAACCAGACTCACAGCCCTCTTTCGCAAGTTGGACGTTGGATAGCTCAATTTTTGGCTCCCGTCAGCGACTTCACCTCTAATCTGATCTGCATTTGAACATCAGCCACGAGGGATCATCAACCTTGCAAATGCCGCAAATGTGGCTATAATCCATACATTGTGACTGTAGCGGTGACGTCAAAAGCCACGAGCCCAAGTAGTATAAGCAGTGTAAGCAGTAGAAGAAAGTACACAATTTGATACGAAAAGATGATAAGAGATTAGAGAAGAGCCGACAGATAATGATTAGAAACACTTGACACTCAATCAAACTGGATTCGAACATTTGAACTCAACATAATTGAAAAGAACACAGTTATGAAGACAGGATACACACGCGTACGCAAGATATAGAAACTGCAAGTCTAACGCAACTGAGCAAGATTTACGTCTATGCAACTTATCGAAAAAATAACGTCTGAACTGTGAAACAAACGAGAATAATGTAGAAAGTAAAGAGCTCGTAACACTAAACATGAAAATTATTAGAATCGTACGGTTCAGTAAACAAGCCGAGCTATTTACACCCGAACTAGCCGTAAATTTGCGGGCTAACTAGCCGATATTACTGCGGATGTTGAGAGCACTAGTTCCTTGTCAGGCTTCCTGGTTGCAGATAACAGTGAGCTCACTATTTATGAGAGTCCAGGGTCAGGGGAGCCAACGCAGGTGATAGAGAGAGGACTGGATCATTTTTGGTATAGTGCATCGCTCATATGTCAGGTGAGACTCGCAAATGCTCCTCTCCAAGATAGTTCAGTCATTAAGCGCGCGAAACTTTCTAGTGACTTTTCATGTTATTGTTAGGTTGGGTGTTTACATCATTGCTAGGGAGAGCTCCATTGCTAGCTTTTCTCAAAGAAAAGTTTCTGTGATTTACTACGATCAACCTTTGACCAATATGATGCCCCTCCTGTGTTTTTGTGTATGGCCTCCGAATCACGCTCGGATGGTGTATCTGTGCACTTGTGTGCTATCATACGATGTTTGCGATGGCATGTATGCCAAAAAATATCACAATGGCTTCTAAAATGACGTGTTGGGATGCATTTCCCGCATTTCCATGTCGTTTATTGCAGCTTATCAATATTTCTAAGCTGGACCTAGCCATATTCGCGAGTAAAAGGCACCCCACCCTACCATACCAGCCGTTGCAGAGAGACGTCCGCTTGGATGGTGCTGTCAATCGATCGGGTAAGGATGCCAATAAATAGTTTTGATCATTCCGATTCGATTGCCGTTTGCCGAGAGAAAGCAGGAGAGACTTGTTCGCTGGTGGCGATTGTCTCGCTACATTCATTTCTTCCCGAACGACTCTGCTTCGAAGTATCGAACAATTGACTCCTGGAGGAGCTCTGTCGTCTATAAGAGACTCCTTCTATGATAGATACTCGTCTTGTATTCAGAGACCGGGATACGCCTCATTGTAGTTTCAAAGTCA